CGTAGAAATCATAACTGATAGTTTTAAATATTCATGTTTTTTCTTATAATTTGTAAATGCATAAATAAATTAAATGAAGATAATGCGCTATATACATAATAAAAAGACTAATAAATTTTTAAAAATTAAAGACTAATAAATTTTTAAAAATTAATTTGTAACATTTAAAGCAAACAAGATTATTCTTGTAATAATAAAAAAAAAATATATCTAGAACCAATTTTGTCAAAATCGAGACTAAATTTGCAATTTATAATATTTATTATATGGGACCAGTTTTACAATTTTTTTACCTTTGCATAATCATCTAACAACCTTTAGTATTTCATTAACTCTTATGGGTGATAGGACTAAAATTACAACAACAAAAAAAATGTAAATGACCATGTTTACAATTTAGGGGACCAAATTTGCAACTCGTCTATTTCTGTTGGACTAGTTTTACAATTTTTTAACGCTTTCTTTTATCAATGTAAATCTGAAAACACATAAAGTGAAATGCTAACTTCCTTCGTTGTTTAAGAAATTAGTATTTTAGCTTGTGCATATGCACAGATGCAAATAAAATTTTATATGTTAAGTATATTTATATGTGATATTTAGAATCATAAGTTAGATAATGAGCATATCAAATATTATAAATTTTATCAGTAGTCAAAATAAACGATATAAATATAAACTATTAACTTACATATCAATCTTTATATTTGAAATAATAAATTTTTTGAAATCTTTGATGATTTTGAACAATTGAATAGTAAAAAAATAGTTAAAATTATTATTATTGCAATTGTGCATAAAATTTTAAAATATAATTAGCTAATATTGATAAGGAAACTTGGTTAATGAGTTAAAACAAAATAAAAAATTAATATTATTACTATTATTGTTATTATTATTATTATTATTATTATTATTATTATTATTATTATTATTATATTAAATGAATAGTTTCAAAAAAAAGATTGATTACCATATTATTTAATATGACTCTACAATTTATTAGTAGTGATTGTTACATAATAAAATAAACAAACAATATAAATATTTAATTAATTCTAAAGTAACAAAAAATGGAGGAAAACTTAAAGAATTTTATTAAATTTGTTGCTAGCAATTATATATGTATAGAATTTATGATACAAGATTAAAGGGGTCGGTAATAACATATATCATAAAATAGAGTAAGACTGATTTGTTTACAAAATTTTGGATTTAGTGTCTTTCATTGTAGTAAGAGGCTGATAAAATTATTTGTGATGCTCTTTTTGAAAAGTATTTATTTATTTTTTGTAGTATTAACTGGCTATCGAATAATTTTTTAAAAAAATTATTTTTTTTCTATTTCTTTAATGTTCTAGAATTTGTATTGTGTTTTTGTTGTAAAATTATTTTGTCAATTTTTATTAGAAGTGATAAATACAATAAGTTTGATTTGGGAATAAATACCGTTGATTATTATATTAAATATATTAGTGTTTATTAGTCAGTTCAAATTTTATAGTAATAAATGTTTTAAGATAAATTTATGTAAGATATTTTTGTATACAATGATGGTATTTTTATTCAATGATGCATTAGTTAGTTTAAATTTTTATTAGTCAGTTTGTTGCAGTAAGAGGCTGGTTAATATTGTATATACAATGATGATATTTTTATTGTATATGATTTTTTTTATCATTATAACATTTTTTTTTTTACAGGTTGAGGTTGAAAATAAGAGTTCGTGAAGTATTGATTTATTGTAGAGAGTGAATTTCTAACAATTTTGATATTTGTAATTTTGGTTATACGGGACAATTTTTCTTCATCATTATTTATTATGATATATTATTAATTTTAGAGAGTAATATCAAAATCAGTTTTATTTACTAAATACAAAATATCAATAAAGTACTAAGAACTATATATGAAATATTATTTGAGAATCAATTTTCAATTTGATGAAGTTTTATTGATTATTGGGTTAATTATGTATTTATTATTAAAAACAAATGAATTAAAGGTGAATATAAAATAGAAACAAAATTGTAACAGTTTTGTATTAATGAGATTTGATAACGAAACAAAAAAGTCAAAGGTAACTGATTTAGGC